ATTTTTTGACTACTTAAGCAGTTGCAGTATCAGGGACTGAAAAACCTTTGTGGTTTCAGCTCATGTGACCAAGAGTTGTGTTATTAAAGACTGTAATGACCTGTCAGTAGGTACACTCTGTTAGTCTGACTTTGTATATCTTAGCATAAGTAAATTGTTCGCAGTTGAGCTTCTTGGTACGATTGACTGTAAAGTCAGATGAGCGCCAGCTTACCGTAGCAGAATGTGGAAAACCTCCGCCCCTGTCTGCATTTCCTTAGCCCGTCACCTAGATCATCCAGCACGCTATAGCAGTCTATGTGGCTAAGGCACTCAGTGCTGACTCGCAGGACGCGGGAACAAATCCCGGTGGCGGCGGCCGCATTTTAGATAAAGGCGAAATGCTTGAAATCCGTGTGCTTGGATTCAAGTGTGCGTTGAAGAGCCCCAGGTAATCGAAAGTTCTGGAGCCCTTCCCTACAGCGTCTCTTATAATAATTTGCTGATTGAGGGACATTCAACCCGGCGTATCAATCAATCATTATTAATCACAGACAAGTACAGTCGAATGTACCAGTTCATCTTAAGTGCAGTTTCTCAGATCCTTTGAGCTGTGCGAACTCCACGTACGCATCAATACCGACTTTCCCTTTCCTTTAAAATAGCTGCGTTGGCGCGGGCCATATCGTGGCAACTGGCGAGGCGAGCAACGAACTCTTCAAGGAGGAATGAAGATAGAACAGAAGACCGGGATAAAAGGTTTGGTGTCGAGGATGAAAGCCAGTGCAAGACCATGCACAAGTAAATACGGGCTGCACTTCATCGTACGTTGTCAGGCAGCCTTATCTGCGAACGTGACGAAGGGAAGTATAGCGTCCTAGTTTTCAATGCGAACTAAGCATTTCTTAACAAACTTCGGCGACTTTGAGCGTATCTATCTATCTATCTATCTATCTGTCTATCTATCTATCTATCTATGGCAAACTTAAGTGATACCCTAATGTAGAAATGATGACATGCATGCCACATAAGTCATGAGCCACAACTACACCCTAGGTTCAAGGTGCGCTCGTGGTTGGTTTGCTAGCTCCACATATTTGCAAGTTCCGTAGAATGTCACGCCACCAGGTAGCCACCAGCATAATTTTTCAAAGAGTATTGGGGGCAGCGGCGGGGCAGCGGCGTTCATAGCGTGTGCATAAACATTATGGCTAGCATTGGGCCTTAACCAAAAGGTTTTTGTTGTAGTTACCGGGCGCACAAAGGTCACTGCAATCGCTGCACAATTTCCGTTTGCGAAAAGGGTGCTCTTTTCAGACACACCAAAGTAACAACTGAGACGCTTTTTCATGTTGATCTGTACCTTTGAGGACGTTTCCTGCGTCATTTGCGCTTGAGAAACGCGGAGCACGTTTTCGCTTTGCTTGCCATTCGGCTCATCACCTTCCAATTTGTGGCTATCGCGTTCATTGCTTTTTCTTCGCGGCAAAGCTGTTACTTTTTTATAAATGCGTAAAAAATATTGACATCGCGATAACATATTGAAATCTTACATCGGTAAGTATTAGCTGAAAACTGAGGACGTGAAAAGAAATACTGAATGTTATAACACTATTTGGGGTTTTCGAGACAAACCACGGGCTTATCGCGAGGCACGCCTTTAGTGGAGGGCAACATGCATGAACATCGCACGCCACGAGTGATGTGTTAGGAATTCAGGACCTCTTCGCCTTCAACAAGGCATCGTATGCGAGCTTTTGAAGCGTCTAGATGGCGCATAATATGCGACGGCAAGAAGGGTTGAGCCATTGTCTGATCAGCCAGTGAATGATGCATTCGCTGGTGCCTTTTAGAACAAAAATGAATGGCTGCTTATCAGAAATAGACACCTTGTATCATGAATGCCCTCACCTTCATAGAAACCCTCACTGGCTGGTGGCTACGCTGAAGTCGTCTGGAAGTCACTGCCTTTTCATTTGGAACCTAGTTCATAAGGCTCGTCAACATGGCCTCAGAATGCTCGGTCTGATTCTATTGTGAAGCTAGGCTACCGTCAGGGCCCCAAGCTTTGGGAGGGCTGCAAAAAAGAAGTATCGTGACCTCCGTATATGGGTACCCTTGAAGTTCAAGTCAAAGTATGACGGTAGACGTTGTCTTAATAGTGCAACATGGCAGGAAGAGCCTGTGTGTTGGGCCTCTGTCTCAAGTAACCCAGGCATATTCTGGCCATGGTGGACTAGTGCTTGTTATGGGGTGGGGCAGGATGTAAACATATTACCCCTAAGTGGACGCTGTAGTGCTCGAAGGCTTATGGCATGCACGAACGCTCGGTTCCAGTTGAAGCTTCTGCCTCTAGCGTCTGAACTTCAGACTCGTTTCTATGACTTTTTCTGATTTGAATCAAACCTTTCTGCGCCGACAAGCAATCCAGAACAACCTATAAAACAGCGTACTTTCAGCGTCAAATGAAACCCGAACAGCCGCAAGCCTTCGCGATAGCATAGTGCGTGTCATCAAGGTGTCACCGCGGACCAGCATGCATATATGCGCGAAGCTGCCGAACAGTATGCGCGCGCCTATCAACGGCAATAACTGGAACGCGTGCACTACAATGTCGCGATGGCTTGCCGCTGGTCGGGTTTCATTTGAAGCTGATAGTACATTTGATGCGACTTCAAAGTCATCTAGAATTGCTGTTTCAATCCTTGCACACCTCATCGCATGCTTTGCCATTTTTTTGCTGGACTGATGATTGCGCTCGTAATAACGTTTTGCTCTGAAAAGCGTACTTTTCCAAGCATGACATCCCTGTTAAGGACTTCCACCCCCAACTCACGCTTTTAGCGTCATTGTGCATAGCACTATAGAAAGGGGCGTCCATTTCCTCACGACAAATTATCACGTGATCTGGACAATTAGCGAAAAAAATATTCGTGAACTTGTAGGTTCAGAAAAGAAGGAGGAGGTAGAGGGAGGATAGGCAGAAACTTCAGATAGGGGAGTGTCAGGTTTGCTATTGTACACCGGGCGAAGAAAACTGAGAAATGAAGAAAAAGAGATAGAAAGAGGAGAACATAAAACAAGGGACATGTGAGTTTAAACTATACTGCTTCATTCGATAGTAGTGGACGAAGGACTTCAGTAGTATCAGATTCCACCGTAGATCGTCGGTTCATGGTGCCTACTGAAGACTTGTAAGCGCTGCATGTAGAACGTCCAGAACCTGTTGTACGGCCTCAGTGTGTTGTGATTTCAGCTTGCCGAAGAACGCTTGAAGTGTGTCAAACAGTGATTAAGGAACCATTAAGGTAGGCTTGTCTTCTGGGAATGGCGAGGTGTGCTGTGAATTAGCATGTCTCTGCAACTTCGGCAATGGAAGCCAAACTGCGTCAGTTGTGTTCGTGGTGGTCTGGTTGGCATCGATCATCACTGATTCTTGTCGCTGCGGTTTTGGTATTGTAGTCCAAGTGGAATCCACAGAAATTATGCTTTTTACTGCGTTCTACTTCATACCAGCCATGTACAAACCGGGTAGAGAAGGATGATGAAGCGGGGTTTCGAATGGGCGCTGCGGATGCAGAGGCATTGCATTTTTCTGACGAACTTCGACATCGTCGGCGTCGCTTTCTGACGGTTGCTGTGGCCTCGCAATGCGGTGTATGGTCTTTCGCCATTTGCCTCAATACAGCTATATTTTTTCTAATTTACTCGCAATCTCTTGAGGAAGCTTCGTGGGTCCGTTGAAATTTGAACACTTGAGAACAGTGGCTTACAAGTTGCCGCGGATGGTATCACGTAGCGAGAACATACTAACCTGCCCTCACATACGCTTCTCACGTTACCGAGCTTCATGCAGTTAAGACATTGCAGCGGCTTATCACAAACGGCCTTACAGGTGTCGGAAGAAGCCCACTGTACGTGCGATGGTAGAGCGTTGCTATAAAATCTGCTTTCACGCAGTGTCAGGTACCCAAACGAGAAATTTCGACGATGAAACTAGCTTCATTGGCTGGCTTGACCAAGCCACTCAAGTAAGTTTTGCGAATGGCAGCGTCAACGTAACAGATTACACCAGTGACGACATTAGAGCCAATCGGTATGTAGGAAAGGACGTTGGTGCCGCCCACCTCTGTGACGTTGCGTAGAATTTTCAGTGCGGCAGTGTGCGAAATGTCAATCGCCATCACATTCTTACGCGGTTCACTCTGATGTCGATGATTTCTTGTGTCACCAGTCCCTCGGGCCGTGCCGAAGCAGATTGCCTGTTGAGGTAGTGCATGTTGCCGTTCGGTTAAGTAGGAACGAGTGAGATTGTGTTGGCCTCTGGCCTTCTCGGCGCTCGTTCATTCACTGTGTTCGAGAATGAAGAGTCGCTGGCGATACGTCTCTTCGTCTTTCAGCTTGTTACAGCTTCAAAGTCGTCGTAAGATGGCCGTTCACTGTCAGCGAGTAGACATCAGTGCCTTCGTTGTCGCAGTCGGGTCTCGTCCACTTGCTTCATGTGGCCATCGCAGGCGCCGGAGGACCCGGTAGATATCCCAACTGGTCCTTGTACATCACTGGTGAATGCCGCAGCAGAGTTCAAGCAGTGCCCATCTCAGCGCAAAAATGGCAAGAGACATTCGGACAACGTACCACTACGCACACATTTGTAGATTAGCATCCATGATAAGGTTAGTATGCTCGACATGATGAGGGAACTAAAAAGAAAATTGAGGACATGGCGCAACGTTACATGCACAGCAGTTTTCTGTGTACATATTCTATCTCGCGCTTACTCATTGGTTTTGTACACCCAAGCAGTCTAGAAAAGGAAACCTGAAATTATTCTTAACCATGCTTTATTCTCACCAGCGATATGGCCACATGTCCTTACTGAATAAAAATTCAATTCTCAGCCTTTTAGACAAAAGCCACTATAACAAATTCTTAAAAATGCTAATTGTCACTTAACAGCAAATAACAACACGCTGCTATCATCTTCCGGGCAGCTATTGACAAAAAGTTCTTTGTTGTAAAAATTTTTTTACAAGAAAATGTAAGCCGATCTTTATGTTGGAAAGATTGTTAGCAGAGCACTGCAGGCAACAGAAGCAAAGGCATACAAAAGAGAAGTTTTGTATATTCGGTATTTGGCCAAGATGTTCCGAGTGGCAATCTGAGAAATTTATTTCGCGATGGCGAAACCCACTCGTCCATTACCAGAGGGCTCTAGTGGCGCCTCGAGCACGGTGTAGACTCGTCTGAGGAATACAAGACCTAAGTGCCAACTGGCATTCGCCACCTCTTCCGCTTCAACGAAGCCGCTGTAACATGTAGTTCCAGATGTTGTCTCCACCTGGAAAAAGATGAGATTTATATTACCAAGGGAAACAAGTTCGCTGGCCTCGTATAGCTGCGGTGATGTTTAAACAGCCTAGTCCTTTTCTTCTTCCCCCTCTCCCACGAGAACATTTAAGGTAAAGGTTTATATTTGACTTGTTTTACTATTTGCTTTCATTTCCAAAGCCGTGCTGGTTGTGGCTTGATGGTTTGTGGAGCATGTTAAGATTGTTGCACAAGCAGCGTATAAACAAGCTAGGACTCTCAGCATTCCATTATCGGCCCCTTTTAGCCCATTTGTAAACCATGTCCACTTCTCGCAGATTGTAATGGGGCATGGAAGAAATCGTACATTCAAGTGTTTCAGAATGATCAAACGTCTGCTCATGTCATTTCAATGATGAAAGATTTTCTGAGACGTGTATCTACGTCTTTCATAAAGGTACCCTGCAACACTTTTTAAGCATGGTCAGAAAAAGCTGCCGATCGGAGTCGACGCTTTGGAGTACGCATGAGCCCAGTATATTGCGCTAAACGCAGCCTGAAATTTGCCGTACGATATCAAATTCTGATCTCCCCAGAAATGATGTGTTGCATACGCGAAGTTCGTGCGTCAAAGGCCCAAGTACGACATCGTAAGCTCAATTGAGCATGGCGCGCTCAGGAGTTACTGCGGTCGCCGCGGGAGGCCGCAACGTGTCCATGCGCGAGTGGCAATCGCACTGAAAAGTCACGCGTTCTAAGAAAATAAAAGAAACAAGAACTGTCTTACGCGTGACGCACCTTCTCACCCTGTGTCATGCGCGTTCGTCTCGACAAGAGGAGAGAGAAAGAATCTCAGTGCTCCAAGAATATTTGTGGCTCCGTTCCTATTAGACGGGTTCTAAATGTTTGGGCGGCTGTGGATTCATTAGGCAGTAAAGTTCTTTGATAAGGTCGCTTCATAGCTACTTAAAAAATGTGTAGCCGAGCCCTTTAAGCCATATTGTTTATGTAAGGTGTGAAAATGTAATAACTTCTGTACAGAAACCCATTCTTTGACCTCTTTGATTCTGGTTGTAGCCTCTTGGCTGCACCCAAACACGCGTCGGGTTTCACAGCTGCATTTTTTACAGTAACAACCATAATAAAATTACAACAAGGGCCGAGTCGGGTGCCGTAGTTGTTAACCACCGCAGTTGCACGTAATCACTATCTCGTGAAAAGAAAAAAAAAAGTTACGCCATCGCCGACTAAAGGAATCAACGTGGGCGTGAGAAGCAGTGCTGGTGTTCACTTGTGTTTTCATTTGCTGTTTCCATTTGTATGTGTGCGTGGGTGTTTCATTTGGGTGTATGTGTGTACCGCTTGTGTAACACCCCCCCCCCCTTCTCCCATTTGTGTGTAGAATCATGTGCGTGCTGCGGAGCCAGCACCAGGCGCTAGTAGGAGAGTGCAACGAAGCGAGCGCGCCCAGCAATATATACAAGCGCACAGCTATGGCAGAGATGAACGGGAGAGGAAAAAAGAAGTGGAGGACGTGCGCTGCCACCTCCTCCACCCTCCCTCCTCGCGCTCATGCTTGGAGAGGGGAGAGGTTGACGCATACGCTGTTGGGGGAGTGGATGGTCGCTGAGAGACGGACACAGCCCCGAGCAAGAGCTGCTTCGCCTATAAAATAAAGAACACCGAGGCCAGAATGGTATGCGAGCCCCGCGTCCTGCGTGGCAGCCCAGTACTGTACCACTAACCTATGCCATTTTCCCTTCATTTCCGGTTGGCCATCACACACAAGGGAACAACATAGTACAATACAATACACAAAACATGACAGAAGAAACGCTACCACGGCCGTCAAGCACTGCTAAAGGGCACCATGCCTCAAAATTCCCTGATAAAGAGGTATGTGCATGGAGTAACACATTGATTCGTTCTTACTACCTTGACAAACCTTCATTTATTTTCTTTTAATTGCTGTCTTACTTGCTTCTGTCAGGTTGACATTCAAATCGTGCCATTCCAGAGCGCTGTGTAGTGTGCGATGCGCCATAACAGACTTTTTTTTAATTGCCCTCTGTAACACATCCCAAAAGTACACCACTCGCCAACAGTGCTGAAAACGTGGTCAATTCTTGCCCGCCGGTTTGGTTACAAATTCATTTCTGATGAAGCGAGGTCTTTAACACCATGAGGATCGACTGTGTAAAGGTATCTCCGCGAGTGCTTAAATCTCCGCCTCAAACTTACACTATGGAGGCTTCATGTCGTATGGCGTAATATGGGTATAAAGGGTTTTTCGAACAGTAATGCAACAACCAGGTGCCACGCAATACGAATGCGTAACGAGTGTGGTCACTGAATGCTCCAACCCCCTTACAGAATCCCCAGGCATAATTCTTTCTGTCGCCAGCCACAACATGGGCAGAGTGCGCATAACGCCTTACAAAGTGTATAGCGGTACCACGCTTGTCCGAAGAATTCAAGAATAATGCCGAATAAACACTTCACCACAACACAAAATTTATGATTGTTTATGGCGTACCGAGAGGACTGCAAGCGTACTTGAGGTAGTTGCCTAAAAAGGTGTTGAAAACACGGCTATATAAGACCCTTTTCCAGTTTTTTCCTGCCTGTGTGAGCATTCCCGCGCAGTCCTGGCGACTTTTGCAATCATCTGCTAAAAAAAATAATCCCCCAGATTTGATTTGTAATGCAAGGCTCCCCGTCATTCTTGTTAGCCAACACTTGCGTTTCAATGGCTTTCCGAGTGGATATACTTCTGCTGTGTAGGCACCAATAAACCCCAAAGTTTCCTCCCCATTATGTTGTTCATAATCTTCAAAAAATAGTGACTATCCTCGGCTCATAAACAGCCTTCTTCAAATTTTTTCGCGCTGTAATAGTGTATTACGGTTGATAGATGCATACGCCTGAAAACACCGTCGTAGCATTGCTGTGGCACCCTGCGCTGCATTAAAATACTGAGGCGCTTAGCCGAAAAGATTCGTATTGCCATTTCTGAAAGAAATATACTTTTCTAGGGCGCATGAATGGAATGTTTTAGAAAGAAGACATAATAGAGCGCACTCAAAATTGCAATACCAACCAGCCCAAGTAGCCACTCTTGTCGTGTAGGCAATTTAATGAAACTTTCCCTTGACCTTACGATTTTTCTTTGTCACTTCACATATTTTAATCAACTAATTGATGCCATTCTCAGTAGAATTGTATAAGCTGACACTGTTCATAGATATATATTATATATATAGGGTCGGTGGAATGGTATCTTGCGAACATATCCTCTTGGTAGTAACGTGCGCGTATTTTGCTGCTGCGTTTAGCAACTCAGGACCAATTGGTTACACTGATAGTAAGTCTACATGACCATTAAAAATGTCATTAAATAAAACAGCTGAATGTTCTGGCCATAAAGATTCAATGTGGTTTGAAATTGCATGGCTTATACAATCGAGGTTGATGTACCTGTTTAGTCCGCTCATATAGTAACAGGTACGGCTTAGCATGCTGTCGAATGCTGATGACTTGAACATTTGAGAACATCGGAGAACTTGAAAATTGTGAGTTGAAAGTGGCATTTACGCTCCTATTTTATCACCTGCTTAAATTTGAGTTTAGCAGGTACTTTTTGCAGTTTTTTCGGGAGGTAGAGAAATCGAAGCATACCTTCCAAACGTAATCTTCAGGCCTCAGGACGATCTCCAGTCCGCCAAATATGAAGGTGACATCGGAAGGCCTCACGTTGCAGCGGAGCTCGTACTGCGGTTGGTAGTTGTCAGTGAAAAACAAAACAATTTCGAGTTTACTTTTTATGTACTGTTGCAAATACATAGTACGAATAAGCCAGTTTTCAGTGTGATTGTTAGGGTTATATTATGTTGCGTAGTAAGGGTAATATTACAAGTAGAGATAATAAAGATACACAGGAAGGCCCGATGGTTAACGGACTGTACAGGTGACCTAGCATAAATCATACACCCTTACCACTTTTCGCATATCGAATGAAATTACACCTGTTTTACATCGATTACCTAAATGATGGTTTTGAGAGCATTTTAAACGATGCCACTAGCACCAGATGCCACACCGAATAGCAGCAATATTTTATTATAACTTGGTGTGCATCTGAAGACAATCGATAAGATCTATATTAACTCTCTGTAATGCTTCATCAGAACTATTTTGAGAAAGGTGGCTTTAACTCTTGACTTTACCAGTTTGGCTAATGAAGACGTAGCAAGAATGCTGCGTGGCCACGAAACATGTCATAGGAATCAACGTCTCAGCATCAGGTACGTTACGACAGTATATCTAAGAGTACTTACTCCTAAATGTCGGGGGAAGAAGACGAAGTGATTCGTTGACGGAACACATCTTGCTCGTCTTTGTGCTTTTCTGGTTTTTTCGCCGCAGTTGTGGGGTCTTTCGCCCCATATATCGTGGTGATGGATGTTCAACCTCACGGGGCACCGTCCGAGTCCGGTTCGACCGCTGGGACTGCTTCGAGGAAGCGAGGAAACGCGTCCAGTGAGAGTGAGGACACTGAGCTATACTCCGCATCAAGCGACGAGTCCTCGGACGACGGCTTCCAACCCGTCCTGTACCGCAAGGCTAAACGACGGATCGTCAATGCATCTTCGGCATCAAGCACGACTACCGTGAAAACTGCCCCTCAGCGATGGCCTCACTCTATCCTGTTTGTGCCACTGAAGGCTACCGACAGTCTACGCGGGCTGAACAGGCAAGCGCTCTCTGTGTATCTCGAGAATATTACGCCAAATCAGATCAAAGAAATACGTCTAAACGCAAGAAAGAACATCTTGGCAATCGATGTGCTGAACCCACGTGCGCTAAACGCGCTTCAGAAAGTAACGCAACTGGGTAACATCAATGTCAAGTCTATAATACCAGCTGATAGCACCACGTCAACAGGAGTAATTTATGACATCGCCACTGAATTCCAGAATCGGATCTTCAGTGCTAATAAAACCGGCAAATGAAGATAACGTCATTGTGAATGTCAGTCGCCTTGGTAACACACATTGTGTGAGAATTACGTTCAAAGGGGACTGTCTCCCCTCCCATGTGAAGGTTGGCCACTTTCGTCACCAGGTCCGACCATTTATTCCAAAACCTATGCGATGTCATAAGTGCCAGAAGATCGGCCATGTGCAGGGAGCGTGCAGGAACTCCGAAGTGTGCCCCCGATGCTCAGAACCACATACCGAGGACAAATGCAGCGCAACCATACTAAAGTGCCCTAATTGTCAAGGTGCCCACAGTGCATCTTCCAAAGACTGTCCACGCATAAAGAAGGAGTTACTATTCTTAGACAAATGGTGCGAGACAGCTCTACCCACAAAGAGGCCGCGCGAAAAGTCCGGCGAAGACGACGACGTCACCGTCGAAGATCTTCGCGAAGAACGCAGTCAACTACAAGAAGTAAACCAACGCATCTGGGAACGGCGCCCACTGCAGGGTACACCGCGGCGAACGCAGACGATGGAAACAGAAAACAAGTAGATCTCTCTCTACTGAAGATTGGCCGCCACTTACGCGCACGCAACTTGTGGAAGAACCACATCAGAAGCCGCATTCATCAGAGCAAGCTGCGACAACAGAGGAGCAGCGGAACTTGGATAAGCAAGTGATTGCTCTTCTACGACCCATAATTAATGCCATTCGCACTGTGTTAAACAACATGCGCACAACGTCAGCCAAAAGTGCACTTCAAGTACTGGACGCTCTGAGTCCAGTACTGGCGGCTCTTGAGTAGATAATGGCCCACCAGCCACTGTCTTTCAGGGAAGAGGTCAAAAAAGCAACAATTTTTCAGTGGAATGCACGGGGACTGAAATCACGCATTGCAGATTTCCGTCGGTTCGTTTCACTAATATGTTTCCCATCATCGTCATCTGCGAGCCAAATTTATCGAGCGCTATTAGACTCTCCGGATACGAATCCTTTATGTCGGCTTGTTATAGTGGAAACAGCAAGGTCCTGCTGTTTATTCGACGTGACCTGACCTACATTATTCGGCCTGTACCACCTGACAACGATAACCAATATATGCTTAACAGTGAAGAAAAGGGGTCTTACTGTCACTGTTGTCGGTGCATACCTGTCGCCATCAAGTAGATTTGACCACAGAAGACTAGGACACATCCTATCATCCACTCCTGGCCCATGGGTGATCATCGGAGACTTCAACGCCCACCATACGCTATGGGGGAGCCCGAAGATCAGCGCAAAGGGTAGAAGTCTGATAACGTTTGCTTCAGACAACGAGCTGTGCTTGTTAAATGATGGCAGCCCAACATTTTTACGTGGCCCTGGATACAGCAGTTGCCTTGACTTGACTTTTGTTTCTCGAGGTCTTGTCAGATGTGCCGGATGGTTTGCGGACATAGAAACACATGGGAGCGACCACATTCCCACATATGTCAAGATCAGAGGATTATCACCTTGCAAGGTACGCGAAACTATCCAAAGAGTAGACTGGACCAAGTTTGAATCTCTCATGGAAGAACGCTGTCAAGAGAACACCTCATTTGACTTAGAAGAGGTGATCAAGTCCACAGTGCAAGACACAGTGTGCACCCTCACATGCTCTTCGAGAGTAACCGAATTTGATGTGGAATTAGAACGACTTCGGGCTCTCCGACGGCGTGCGGAACGAAGGTACCGACGCACGAAAGCAATCGACGATTTACGAATCGCTAGACGTCTTCAGAAGAAGATACAACGCCGCATAGACAAGCTAGAGTCACAACGTTGGGCAGCCTTCTGCGCTTCGTTAGATCCTCGCAAGCCTTTATCACACTTGTGGAGGACAATAAGAGGGCTCCGGACATCTCCCATTCAGCGGTCTCCATTCAAGGCTCTAGCCCTCTCTCAACAGAGATCGGAGGTCGACGTGGCAGAAGAGTTCTGTGCCAACTTATCTGGTCAACTCGCAGATCCCAACATCTCCACGCTCTCACGCGGTGGCACGACATCACACGATCACCCCATGGACCAATTTTTTTCTATTCATGAGCTTCAAGCAGCACTGGCTTTGTGTAGACGGACATCAGCACCCGGGCCTGATGGAATATCATACAGAGCACTGTGTCACCTTGGTGAGTGTGCGAGGAGTGCCCTCCTCGAGATATACAACGACTCGTGGCGAGAGGGCACCCTCCCAGTTAACTGGAAGACCAGCCGTTTGGTTCCATTACTGAAGCCTGGCAAGTCACCATTGGTGCTCACATCATACCGCCCGATTGCACTGGCTAGTTGCTTGGGCAAAGTGATGGAGAGGATGGTACTTGGACGGCTAGAATGGTTCCTGGAGCATCACAACATCTACCCGGACGCTATGACGGGATTTCGCCGTGGCCGGTCATCAATTGATAGCGTCATAGACCTGGTCACCTACGTGCAGCACGAAAAAGGCCGTAAGCGTCTCTGCGCTTCTTTATTTCTTGATGTTAAAGGGGCGTACGATAACGTCACACATGAAGCTGTCCTCACCGCTCTCAAGGAGGTAGGAGTGGGTGGTCGGATGTTTCAGTGGATACGCAGCTATCTCTCTGAGCGATCCTTTTTCGTGAGAACCGAGGATGGTGACACTTCGCTACACTACAGCCACCGTGGTGTTCCCCAGGGTGGCATACTTAGCCCTGTACTATTCAACCTGACGCTAATAGCTCTAAATGAGCATCTGCCAAGTACTGTCAGATTGTCAATGTACGCGGACGACATCTGCGTTTGGACGTCTGCAGTAACACGTCTACAGCTGCGAGCGCGAATTCAGAGAGCTGCCACTCAAGTTGCTATTTACCTCCGTCAACGAGGTCTGGAAATTTCCTCTGAGAAATGTGCACTAGTGGCAGTTTACGCGCAAACCAATGCATAACTACAGCGTTCTGATAAACAACGAAAGAATACGTCACCTCAGATCACACAAGTTCCTAGGTGTTATAATTGACAGAGACCTCTCATGGAGCTCACATGTATCATACATGAAAAGGCGATTGACAGGCATCTGTCATTTGTTCAAGTTCTTCGCTGGAAAGAACTGGGGAATGTCCACAACTGCTATGTTGCGACTATACAGGTTTCTTTTCTTGGATTCCTTCGTACAGCCTACCTGTGTTAACCAACGCAAGTAAAACAAGCATACGAATGCTTCAAAGTGTCCAGGCTCAAGCACTCCGGATATGTTTAGGCTTGCCCCAAAGTGCATCAACAGCGGCGACTATCGCCATCACAAGGGACAACCTCATCAAGACCCACATTAATGTGGAAGTGCTGAGGACACATATACGACACCTTGCTCGAACCCCTCGACATCACCTAGCCTCTCTACCAGTGGTCCGACCATGCACATCTTACTGCAAAACAGTGACCGCACATGGTGAGTCGATCCCAACTTCGTTCTCTCCTGCCGCTAGACCTGTGACTCCGCCATGGTGCCTCGCTCAACCAATAATTAATATTAACATACCTGGCGTCGAGAAAAAGGCCAATTTGTCGTCACCGGCTCTTAAACAGCTCACACTACTTCTCTTGTATGAGAAATATCAAGACTCCACACATATCTACACTGACGGATCGGTTCAGCCGGACAGCTCTACAGGAGCAGTAGTGATACCAAGGTTGGCCACGACAATTAAATTCAAGACATCTCACGCAACAACATCAACGGCAGCAGAATTGGCAGCACTTCGAGCCGCGTTGCAATTTGTAGTTGATCAGCCTACGCGCAAGTGGACTATTTTCTGCGACTCGAAGGCGGCACTGCAGTCTCTACTATCAGCCTTACGCCGTGGACCACACGAGCAGCTGGTACTAGAGATAGCAGAGATTATACACCACCTGACTGAGAAAGGGCACCAAATTACATTTCAGTGGTTGCCCAGTCACTGCGGAATCATCGGCAATGAACGGGCCGATCAAGCTGCCCGCTCAGCCCACACAGAAATCATAAACTGCGACTACCACTTTCTAGGACGGATGCTGCACGAGAGCTCCGCAGACTTGCTCGCCGGCAAACCACATCGCAATGGAATCAGCCGCACTTCAAGCATGCCCGACTGTACTCGCTTACCCTACGCTAAGTCTTCAAGTCCCGTCGAGGCTTCGCCGAGCAGACCAGACCCTGTTATGTAGGCTGTGGTTGGGCGTTGCATTTACCAACGCCTACGCTTTCCGCATTGGGATGGCCGACACCGCAGCCTGTGGCCACTGTGGCAAGGAGGAAACCATTCAACATGTTCTTTGTGAGTGCCTAGCGTATAGTAGGTGGCGACTATGCCTTCGCAGGGAACTCAACAAATTAGATGATCAGCCTCTGTCGGAGCAGGAAATTCTGCAGTATCGTCAGGATGCGACTTCACAGAAGAGGGCCCTGAAAGCGCTGCTGAACTTTTTGCGATTGACCGGCCTTGCTGAACGGTTGTAGCCGGGACGCCCTTCCAGTGTGTGTTTTCGTTTTTTTTTTATGAGTGCGCGTGCGTTTTTTTTTCCCTCTCTCTACCCCCTCTTTCTTGCCCCTACTTCCCCGCCCCCAGCGCTGGGTAGCAAACCAGATGCCAATATCTGGTTAACCTCCCGGCCTTTCCTTTCTCACTCACTCACTCACTCACTACTCCTAAATGTCCAGCAGATACGTCATACAAGTTAAAATACACCATAAAAATTAAAAAACTTCCTGGTGAATACCATCAATATATTCCAGGCTTTTGTTGAATAAACGAATACGTTTTGTTCTAAGTAAAATATTATCGTGCTAGATAGAGAGCGCATGGGGAAGCGTACGTGTCAGCGCATATTGTATGCGCCTGCGTTTACAGCACACTTCTCATGATATGACTTTTACATACTGGCGTTAAATAATTGTTGCAAGTATCACAAGTCTAAGTTTTTCGAAGTTGTTCTTTGCCTAAAATGAGGCTCAGCGGTGCTCAAAAGTAAACATTTTTGTAACTTTACGTTCTTCAATATCTGGACAAATTCTCTTCGCTTTCATGGTAAAAAGGGCTGCAGTGTGAGCACGAATGTGCTAGAACAAACAGACAAAAGTCGAGGCACGGAAGGCAAAGAGGACAACACGAGCGCTTTCCGTGCCTCGACTGTCGTCTGTTTCTTCGAGCAGATTCGTGCTCGCGCTGCAGCACTTTTTACCATGAATTCAAACCAACTAGCCCAAATTGCCATTCATCGCTTTCCTCGCCTTCCTGCTCGCTTACGTCACGCTGATGCACAGCTACTTACTTTTCCATCCTCGACCTTTCTGGCGCCAAGAAGTGTGTTGATTTTCATTATTTCGCTGGCGGGTCCCCCAATGAAAGGGTCCGTTGGAGCTGGCCGAGCCCACGATGCTGGTAGCCTTTCTCTCTGACCAGCCACTTTATATCTGCGTTTTTATTGATACTTGGTTAGAAAGAAAAGTGCAATTTAATTAAGTCATTGCGACTTTTCTAGCTATTTCTGTTAGTTGTCTTAAGACTTGTTCGGTCATTAAAATTCGGGTTTGAGCGTAGGTATAGTTCTGTTGTAGCCTGTATTGAACACTTTACTGTGTGAGCGATGCATGAAAGTTAACCACCTAAAGTGTTCCGCACTTGGAATATGTGTGTATTTGACTTCGAAATGAATGCATGGTTTTACACACACAAACACACACACACACACACACACACTCACACACACACACACACACACACACAAACTAAGTGATCAGCATGAATGTGACAACTGATGTCAATGCAGCCAGCAATTTTGTAACGCTCGTTCCATCCGGACAATTTTCTTGCAGGAAAACTATAAATAGACTTTCTACAAGTACTTACCCATTTAGATGAACCTGAAAGGCACTGTCGAGAGCTTCCACGAAAGTCATTGAACCTTGGTAGTGCTGCTCATTTGCACCCCCGAAGAGGGCTTCCCCTGGAGCGGTCACGTCGGTGCTAAAGTAAAGTCCGACCCTTGGACTGCCGATTACACCCAATTTAGCCATTTCGTAAAGCGTAGAGTTTGCACCGAGACGCAGCCCGAAGACGCCGTCGAATGGCTTGTCCACAAAGCTGGGCACCCCGTGGAAGCCTATTCCATTCACAAACTGAAGATTGCCGAGGGACACGTCGCCGAGTTCATGAGCATCCCGAAACACGTAGCCGGTTACGTTGCCCCTGCAGAAAAACAAAAGTGTGGCTGAGTTGAGGCTGGGAGAATGTGTTCTCACGGATGACGAAGAAAAAAAAACAAAGTATACTTTATTATGAGCAAACTTGAACTCCTTGAACGAAAAACAAAGGCAGTTTAGCGGTTCCGCAGCAAGCGTGCCTGTTGTGGTGAGCAACCGTCTACTGAAAAAAGTGACGCCCGTTCACTGCGCACCACTCTTTTTTTTTTTTTTGAAGTGTGGCATGAGACCAGGTAATGTTAACGCCTACCGCATTATATGATGGGACATGGTATGTTTAGTCATAGACAAACGACCGCTTTTACTTTCTCAACACAACAGTGCGTTGTGTTGTTATACGCAAACAAAAATAATTTGTTGTTCTGAGTGCAAACTTTCTAAAAAGACTCCACACTCATTCGTAGCTTACTCTGCGTTCCAGAGAGAGAGAGATAAAGATGCAAGGAAAGGCAGGGAGGTTAACCAGACGCACATCCGGTTTGCTACCCTGCACTAGTTCCAAATATTTTACGTAGTATAGCGGATGACAGCCCACTATTTGTACGTTTTTTTTACCCCTTCACTACAGTCTCCATAATCGTCTACGTAACTTCTTGAGCAATCAGCATAGCAGGTAATTACAGAGCGTCCCTGCAAACTTGCACCTTCGTCCCGCACAATGTATTTTACCTATATTCCTTGATTCAGTACCAGTTGTCAACTTAATTGGCTACTGCGCATACAGGAGCAAACGGTGCATGCTGAAGAACGCACGCATCGAGTAACTGCATGAAGCCCTTCTGCTTGTAAAATCACGCATTAATCTTATGCATGAGCTACTGTGAACCACTCCAATATATACTGTCTTCGGGAGTCATTTACGAATATTCAAAACAATTAAAGGAATGAGTGCCTTTTGCGGGGTTGTTCTTACGGTATTCACAACTGACGGGACATCCATTTTTTTTGTATCTATTTTTTTGCTCTTGTGGAAATTTTTGAAGTCACATACAAAGCTTTCAATAGCGACAGATCTCCCACGACACTTAGAGACATTAACCCACAGACTTTGACTAGAAGTAGCATACACAAACAGCTTCCTGCACAAAATGCATCGACCAAACTCATCGGAATGTCATTGCGGTCATTCAAAAGCAATAATTCGCCATATTCTTTTGGAGTGTATCATAAACGCGAATGAAAGAAAAAAACTATGAATAAAACTGGAGTCTGAATAGATGGCCCATCACATGAAAGAAATTACTTGGACCACGGGCTGACATGCATCCTCAGAAAAAGGCGAATCTCTTCCTAACAGACTTCTTCGTGGAGAGCGGGCTGGATAAGCGCCTGTGAGAAACAGCCACGGGTTGACATATATGAAATGATGTGTTCGTGAATATACTGACAGTAGATAAAAAAGATGTGCGTGTGAACATATTATGACTGTGTGAACTCTTGCAAGCAAAGTGTACATTCGCATAATATTTCAACTGGTTTCAGTGTGCTATTATGTTTTTTTTTTGTTCATTATTGAGTAGGTTCAATATTATTCTTTTATTTTCTTCCGCTGCAGAACCTATTTATATGGAGTAGCCGAGGCACTATGGATCTCAACCTCTGCACGCTAAAGCAGTTAGAACAGAACATAACAGAACACATTTCGCAAGCAACACCTTTTCTTTTATTGTCTGCACTTTTGCCGTTGGCGAAGAGCACATGTCAGTAGTTCTGTATTCACGTCCAATTTATATCAATGCTTCAAACTTTGCGAAAACGTGAATCTTCTTGCAATTGACGTATGCTTAGTCATCTTTGTGGCCTTATGTGACATCGCCGATTTTATATTAACTGCCTATATTTATACCGTGATTATTTTCTTTGTGACACTCCCCAATTCCCGTTTATTTGCAGGTTAGCCTGGCCGTTCATCCTATTCCCTACCCCTAAAATGAAAAAAAAAGTAACACAATGTCCCTCATTGCTCTTCATTTCTGTGCCTTGTATATCAGTGCTTCATTCATCATTATATGAATAAACTTGTGTCCTGCTTCCATATCTACGTGCTCAGAATTTTTCACCATCCCTGGGTAATAATAAGAGCACGTTTTTCAAACATTAACAATGCTATTTCAACTGAAAAAAAAATCACATCAGGCCTCATTTAGGAATACGCGGGTACACTAACCTTCCAAAGGGTGTGGCACCGTCTTCCCAGTCACTGCTCTGTGTCGTCGACTCACTCCAGTCATACATCTTGTGTCCAACTGAAGCAGTGCAAGCAATAAATGAAGTAGATAAGACTTGCTAATATTTCAAGACGTTCCTAATGTATCAGGTACGCTCGCACCTTGGAGTAGCATGATTTCATAGTTACAAGCTCTAGTAACACTTACAATCTGTGATGATGCGCTTCAACTTCCTTTATTGTCACCCTCATTTAGCCTCTATCGATCTCGCCGTCAGGGCAAAGTAATATACGGTATCTTTTTTTTTTGCTACTGGCTTTTTTTTACTGTTTCTTCCCTCATTCCTATATGCGATACTGACGCGAAATAGCTGCTCAAGTTTGTCCATTTGGTTTATGATATTCTAGAAATGTTACCATTGTTAGAGCACGCTTCACACTAAAAATAATAACCAAGATTTTTGTCAGTGAATTTTTTTTATTTATACCACAGCTTTTCACGCAATGCTTTGTGACCCTGTTTTAGGTACAATTTTTAGGAGTATTTTGTTGAAAATATCTACTACTATACACGCCTCTTTGAGCCGTCTTCCGGATTCAAGATAGTAGGAGAGACAACGGCACTGAATAAACCAAAAACAGTGAAGTTTCGCGCAAATATTTAGGCATATACGCTTTTAAAAACTGTGACACAGCGAAGGAAATACTAAGGGGAGATGTCTACAAATGCTGCAATTTGATAAAAACATGTTATATAATAACATTTTGTTTTATTTGTCGTATATGTATCGTTCACGATAGAGAGTTGCTAATTTACGCACAAAAATACATCTTATTTAGAAAAACACAGTCAAACGTGAACCACCTCGTGCTTCATTGAGTGTATTACAATGTGGCAATCTGGGAGGAAACACTAGATAAAACCATAAGGGAGCAGTTCACCGTCCTCTTAAGGAACTATAGGTTTCAGCGAAGGTTCTTGGGGGGGGGGAGTGAGGTCTCCTTTGCTCAGCGGCCTTTCTCAAAGCAAAATTGTATATTGTGCTTTCTTATCTCGTTTTTTTTTTTCAGTGTATATGAACCCGCGCTCAGCGCTCTTCCTGCAAGTTGTGTTATCGTGCAATAACGCGAATTTCCCGTAGACAGTGCTTTCATGTCATGTGATCAAGTTGCTGCTTCTCTTTGTATTTCTGTAATAACGATTTTAAGCTGTTCAGTTTATCATCTGCAAGTATAGACGCATTTGAGGACAAGCATTTTTTTTTCTCACTTGCTATACACTTCGTGTGCCATTACATAGGCCATATGCAGGCTGAATCATGTTTTTAAACACAGATGGGGAGCATTTCAAATAATTAAGCGTCGTCTGCCCAATTTATTATTATTATGATTATTAATATTATTATTAATACTATTGATATTATATGATCTGTGGCTTACATACCAAAACCACCATATTGGCATAAGAGAGGCCGTAGTGCGGGGCTCCGAACTGTTGGACCATATGGTGTTATTTTTAACGTGAACTCACAACGCGCAGCGTATGAACCTCTACAATTTCGCCTACATCTAAATGTGACTGTGGTTCCCGGGATTAAACCCGCGATGTTTAGAGTCAGCAGCTGAGAGATTTAACGACTGCTCCACCACGGTGGACGTCTGTGCTATGTCAAATTCTTTTACGCAAGTGACGTTGTGCGTTGTACAGAAAACATTCGCTAACTCATTCTGAAAAAAAAAAATTGTAGTTGTGAAAATTCACTTGTTTAATGCTGTGAGAAGGATTGAGTAATCTTCGGTGCAATGCGGCTCCGAAATACATACAGCAGGGCTCCCCTTGCGTGCAAAAGTAGGCAGGAACCCACGTTGTACCCGCCGGATCAAGCATGACCAAGAATTCCTGTGGTGGAGTACCTAGCTTGAGTTTTGTGAGGTATGTGAGCTGCAATGTAGGCCAAAAAAGCATATATATATATATATATATATATATATATATATATATATATATATATATATATATATATATATATATATATATATATATATATAAATAATGGTTGTAGAACATATAGAGTGTTACTTCACTTCTTTTCTAAAGAATATATACCATGAGATACTAAAAAGGTGAGTAACAGCCATGACTCACTTTCTAACATAATGTTGCCCAAGAACTTGTCTTTAAACATTTTTAAGGGTGAAAATATTGAAATAAGACGAAATACGTCCGTCACCTGCCAAAATAAAATACCTCCATGCCCACCACGTAGTCGGGCATGCTGTCAGGAGCAGCCACCGCCTAGTGACGAGGCAGATGTCACAGCTGCCATGCCGAGTTGGCCCGGTGTGGCGTGATTCGAGTACAAGTAATGAAAGGCCAGTTCACCAACCGGGTGTGCTACAGCAAGGTGTGCATGTTATTCTCTGGGACCGGAATTTGGACATTCTTCTATGGTCTGTGATGGTCTGCGGTTACACTGTATTCTGTCTACCTAAAGGAAAAAACTAGCATAAGCCAAGAAGACTTCGTTTAGCCCCTCAGATCAGCCACCTTCGCTGTTCGAGGGGCGAAGCTTCGTAGGCCTTGTGTCATTCTCTCCTCTGTTGAAGTAGTATTTTACTTATTATTAGTAAAATTTGTAGTAGTAGTATTTTGTAGCCATAGCCAGCTGTAGTTCATGAATTCCTCAATAGATGACGTTGTGTGTATATATCCAGGAAAATAATATCACTAGAGGGCCTTAGTGGTTTTCCTATACTTCACGATTTCGTATAATTTACGGATGGACGAATGGACGGACAGACAGACAGATGGACGGATGGACGCACAAAAGCACGGACGGGCGGACTGGCATTTGACAAAAATGTCACCTAACGCTGCGATATCAAAGGACGCCTTTTTTAAAAAAATTGTCCTTTCTGATTGGGACTTGACTTCAGATCGCGCTGAAATTTTCGATATGAATTTTCGCTATGACTGGAATAGATACCGATTATGAAACATTCAGTTTCGGTTCCGTGGTCAGGTTTCAATTGATAGTGGTCGCATGCGATTCCTCACATAAAAAAAAAATGGTCAGCACCAGACCCGTCTTGGTAGCTTACCCGTGCATTGTGGTCATCATTGAAATATGCGGGAAAATATGCACAGTTACAAATTAGCAAAGTCCCAAAACTTCATTTCGTGTGAAGTCACAGGAGCGGAAGGTTCGTTGGGCCAAGTTCCGTCCGCGAACAACTTCTTTGAGGTGCATGGTCCACTTTATTGGAAATGTACCATACCGAAAGCTTTTCGCTCGTGTTTCCCGAGTCTATGCACAAATCAAAAATTTGTACAATCAAAAGAGTGATGGACTCAGTTCCCGATTGTACGATGAATTCGAAATCAGGAAGTCGGTGCGTTCTGACATTTGTGCTGTTGTCAAAACCTCGGCTCCAGCACACCCACTCCCTGTTTTAGAATTCCTCATAGCATGCTTCCATCTTCCCCTTCTTGCCTTGCTTTTGAATTCCCAATTGTATGTAGTGAGTGCCAGCAAAATTGCAGCTCCCTTCGGACATTAGATAGCTTAATGATTGAGAGAACTCGCAACACAGCTCTCACGACTTCTTCTCTGTGAAGGGTAATAACGCAGTCATATTAAGGCCATTAAAAACAGAAACCAATGACCACCTCGTCTCATTGCTTAACAAAGCGTTATGAGAATCATCGCTGATCAGAAGGATTGTTAGTGTACGCTTACATTGTTGTAGTTGACCAATGGTACCGACACCGTTCTGGGTGCTTGACTGGCAGGGCATTGCTAGGAAGAAAAAAAAAATGTATGCTGTCCGTGAAAAGTTTTTGTATTCAACACTTCTTTAAACTCGCTCATAACCATGTCAACAAAAGGAATGTACACAGACATATAGGTTACTGTATCTTCTTATAAAGAAAATACTTTCGAAAGGGAAATGAAGGAACAGGGTCATATATTTGTATCAGCAACTCATAAAACAAAGATAAGCGTCTGTTCAAGGTTCATGAGATCAATAATACTTTAGGTACGCGTAGCAGCTATATAGCGGATCCAGTAGCAGGTTCAATAATGCAATATCAAACTTAACAGTCCCTGTGTGAGCCTGAGAAAGGCTTACAGTATTAAATAAATAAAAAAATAAAAAAGTTCGTGACCGTTTTTCAAGTGGTCGCCGACTACGTGAGGTATTAAACTGCCAGTTTGATTTTTCATTGCACCTTATACTAGCATTTGACCTACAAACAACTTTCATAAATTGAGACCCCTTGATTACCGTGTTTTTAGCTCTTTACGACTTTTTCCAGCGGTGGGTCAAAGAGCTTTTAGAATACTGGGCAACCTTCGATGTATTTTACCTTCCAAGTCGTATAAGATCGTGAATAATGTTTATGAAAGTTTAACAAGACTCAAAGACAGTGGTAGAGATATACGTGTAAATGTTTTCATGAAAAGCTACAGATGCTTGCCTGGTTACTCGCCTTACATGATACCACTACAGGTTGTGGGTGATCATTACGGTATGTACACTGATAACCACATAACGCCTACAACCCAAGCAGTACTTCTACTGATATAAGCAATATACACATGTACAGTATATTCATCATCGAGAGAAGAAAACATTGTACCACACCTGGAGGCATGGGCCACACAAGGTCCAGCCCATCCCAATAAGACAAAGAGGCTTAGCCTGAGAATAGGCATATTTGTCAACGACAGTAATCGGCTTTTCGATGGAGGCAGAAGCAGCGTTTGTGCGCTCTTGCTGGCGGGCGAGCTCTCATATATACGTGAAGTGGCTGAGTTCAAAAATGTGCTTTGTTGTCGTCTGTGGCATACAATCACCTCTCGGCGGCTTCTTTTTCGCATGTACACTGTGTCGCTGATGCATCCTGGCGGACACCACACAGACGATAGCTCGTGTTTTTTGCCAGCGCAAGCCCATTGTACTATTTTTGTGCAACTCTAAGCGGCAAGGTCGCGTGCGATAAAAAGAATGTTTTGACTGATGTGCTCGAAGGCGCCCCTTAGCCGCTCATATGAACTCCACTGTTTCTTGAAGCACTAGAAGTTCTGTTTTATGTTTTTATAATTTATATTTTCGCAACATATTTTCTGTCGGTAATCTAAGATTTTTGCAAATACGTAGCTTTAGCAGTGCGAACATAAGCAGTGAAAAGTGTGGAGAAGCAAAAGGTAATTTAGAAGACGGGGCATAGTACTAGACCTTTGTTGGTTCGTTACGCCATCAAGCAGTGTTAGCTTACTACAACATCTATAACAAGAACCCTGGACTTGACGAAATGAAAAAGAAAATTTAGATATCTTCGTACCAAAGCGCAGAGGCCGGTATATGGGGAGTAAGGCCACACTCATTCACTGTTCAGATTTGACCAATCCTAAAATTGATATGCTCTGTTAAGTGCCTGCGCGTGACGTATGGAGATTTTTTCCGAAGTCATCTTTTATACTGCAGCGACAACTTTTCTTGGCACTGAAATGAAAGCTACAGAGATAAATCGCGTGTATCCTTCCGCCAGTGTAGGTATTTCTGAAGTAGCGCCTGTATTTTCAATGTGAAATATAAATGTTCTTCCTGTATTTTCTATGTGGAGCTATTAGACACAGCACGCAGCTCACGGCAGTGAGATATTCGTATTTTTTAAGTTTATCTGTTGTGACATCGCCTTTTGAACACGAGAGAAAGTCCTGCCTTTTTTACGTGTACTTCAAACAGTAAGCGGCGTCTGCGTGTACGTGAAACGCTAATGATGCACCCCCATCATTTTCCACAACGTTACGAAACGCGCGCCAAAACCGACTACCTGGCGTTGTGCTACATGTGCAGAAGCTTCGTCTCCGTAGCTTTTCGTCGCCGAGTATAGCCACTTTGCGTGGGACCAAAAAATGACGAAGAAGAGCAGTGTGAACAAACAAGCGCAATATGATTGGCATACAAGCGGCAACGTGTTCACACTTCTTTTGTTCGCCCTTGCTTGTTTCGCGCAAAGTGGCTAAAAGGTGAAGCAGTTCCAGTTATGCTTCAGTTCGTTGGCTAATGTTGCTCTCTTTTCAACACGGCGTATTTCCCTGTGCTTCCTTACGAGATGCATTAGCCAGATTGCTATGTTTTAATGCTGCGAAACAAAACTGAGCGAAGAAATGAAGAAAGAGCTTGTATACTCTTTGTTGAAAAAAGTCCGTCGTTTTTTTCAGCTTAGGTTTCCGTGGAAATGTTCGCTTATAGTAATAGTAAGCACATAAAGCTCTTCCAGTAAAGCTGGCGAAAAAACTGCACTGTTCCCCATACCGACCTACCAAGCTGTGCAACACTTGCCTTACTAGTCAGGCGTAAGAATTGTGATGAGTAAAAACATTTCTACTCTGTCTATGCACAGCCTTTCTTCATATTCCGCTCGAAAACAAAACAAGATAACTCGCGCCTTTCATGGAGTACGCCAGTGCAAATTGCAAAAACAACAATTAAATGAGGAATTCAGAGAACACTCGGCATTAGATATGACGACAATCATAGGCACAAAAAAGTAATTGTGCCCTTACCATGAACCTGGCCGTTGGAAGTTGTATCATACATGTTTCATGTTTACTTGAGAAAATGTTTTGACCACACAAGCAGTTGCAGTATCAGTAACTGAAAAAATCTGTGTGGTGTCAGCTCATGTGATCGAGAGTTGTGTTATTGAATACTGCAATAACCTGTCGGTGGGTTCACTGTGCTAGTCTAACTTAGTACATCTTAGCATATTTAAATCGTTCGCAGTTGAGCTTGTTGGTACATTGACTGTTAAGTCAGATGAGCGCCAGGTTACCGGAGCACAATGTGAGAAACGATAGCCCCCGTCTGCATTTTCTTAGCCCGTCACCTAGCGCATTCAGCACGCTATAGTGGTCTATATGCACTTCGCTGCTGACTCGCAGGTCGTAGGAACAAATCCCGGTGGCGGCTGTCGCACTTTAGATAAAGGCGAAATGCTTGAAACCCACATGCTTGGATTTAGGTGCACGTTAAAGAGCTCCGGTGGTCGGAATTTCCGGAGCCCTCCACTACAAGGGAAGACCAAGAAGTGTGTTTTGAATAGGAGCTACTTCTGCTAACTCCGGCGTATTTCAGTCGTAATTTAAGTCTGTTGATCGGTTTTCGCTGCTTCCTTGGAGGGGATGAATGTAGACCACCCCGGGCGCCTGCCGGCACCAGCGGCGTCAGCGGCGGCCGCCTCCAGGAAGCGGATGGGACAAGCGAGTGACAGCGACAGTGAAGATACTCATGCTTACTATCTCAGCAATGAGGACTTCTCAGATGATGGTTTCCAACCTGTGCTGAGCCGTAAGCAAAGAGGAGGAACATGAGGACATCCTCATCCTCAACTATTCAAACTGTAAGTGAAGCGCCAAAATCGAACACTTATACCATCCTGTTTCTGCCTGCACTTCCTACCGTCAGCATGAAACGCCTTAACAGACAGTCTGTGTCGCGGTCTCTGGAACGCTCGTGCCAAATGAGATCACGGACATAAGAGTGAACGCCAGAAAGAATATACTGGCTGTTGACGTTTGCACGCAAGTGCGTTGGGCGTTCTAGCTGCGCAGTGTAACTGACTTGGACGGCAACCAGGTGCGCTCTCATGTTCCCTTGGGATGTGATGTAGTAACCGGCGTGATCTACGACATAGATGTGGCTATTTCCAATAATGACTTACAATTTATTGTCAAGTCAACAACTGATACTCCTATTGTTGATGTCACCCGGCTAGGCAAGTCTCGCTGTGTGAAGATTGTGTTTAAGAGCACATCACTTCCCTCTCATGTGAAGGTGGGGTACTTCAGACATGCTGTGCGGCCTTTCATTCCAAAGCCTCTCCAGTGCCGTAAATGCATGAAACTTGGACATGTGAGCAGCGTCTGCGAGAATTCGGTGGTATGCCACCGCTGGCGCCGAGCCCCATGAAGCGGATAAGTGCGTCGCGACTGTCAAGAAATGCTCTAATTGCAATGGATCCCATGTAGCCACATCGAAGGACTGCCCGCGGATTCAGAAGGAAATTGCCATCTTGAAGGAGATGGTGCGCGATCAGTCATCTCATCGAGAAGCCGCAGCTAAAGTCAGAAGGCGTTGTTCACGTCGACGTCGGTCTTCAAGGACGCCCGCTACCTCCTCGACAGGTTTGCCAGATCCCTCATCAGTACCACTCCCTTTGCCTCCAAGACCACATGCCGTGAGAAAGGCTGTAAAGGACAAAGCCTGTGAGCATACCCTAACTGCCACAGAGTGGCCTGCACTTCAAAGGGAAGCAGCATCAAACGAACCGAAGCGATTTCATGACGGCCAGTCCGCGATCCCGGTTCGAGATCTTTCCAACCAAGACAGACAAGTGACTTCAATCGTGCAATCATTAATTGCCACGATTCGCACGCTACTGAGCAGCATAAATCTCCGTCTGCTAAGAGTGCACTGCAAATACTGGATGCACTGAATCCAGTTCTTGCTAACTTCGTAAAAGCACATTGGCTCAACAAATCTTATCTTCCGCACTGAAGTTAAAAGTGCGTCGATTTTTCAGTGGAATGCCAGAGGCATGACTCGGACTTTCGCCAATTTGTTCGGGCACATCATTTCCCTATACTTGTCATATGTGAACCAAACGTATCAACGCCTTATAGATTGTCCGGTTATGAAGCTTTTGTTCAGCCGCTTGCGAAGAACGAAGCAAAGTAATTGTTTACATTCGCACACACTTGACTTATCTTTCGCACCGAATAAGTTCAAATGACGACAATCAGTACGTGTGTCTTCGTGTAAAGAAGAAAGCAGTTTCATTCACGCTTATTGGTGGATATATATCTCCGTCATCGCGATTTGCCTGCGACAGATTAAAAGACATCCTAATGAGAACCGATGGGCCTTGGATGATCACCGGTGACTTCAACGCCCATCACACGCTTTGGGGGAGCACTAGGATGAAGGCCAGGGGCCGGAACATTGTTACATTCACTTCCGATTACGACCATTCCATCATGAACGATGGTACCATCAACATATCTGCGGGGTCTCACGTATGGCAGTTGCCTTGACCTGACATTGGTGTCACGCTGCTTCTCTCACAAAGTTAAATGGTTTTGCGATATTGAGATTCATGGGAGTGATCACATACCCACTTACGTGACGATCGATGGTATCATAAAACAAGTCTCTTCCGGTGTTGTAATTGGCACTGACTGGTCGATGTTTACATCGCGTGTTGAGGACGCTTGCCTAGAAGGCCTCGCCTGCAGCCTGGAAAATACCATAGCGGAAGCTATGCAAGCGTCCAAATGTAAATTACCATTTTCGTCTAAAATAACACAGTTTGACATCGAACTGGAAAAATTACGAGCTATACGAAGGCGTGCTGAACGACGATACAGACGCACAAGATCAATTTACGATCTGAGGGAAGCAAGACGGCTCCAGAAAAAGATTCAACGACGCATTTACAAGCTGGAGAGCGAACGCTGGAAAGCATTCTGCAAATCTCTAGACCCCCATAAACCGCTGTCATATATCTGGAGAACAGTTCGTGGTCTGCGCTCCTCTCCGTAACAATGGCACCCTTTTAAGCTTTGGCACTCTATCATGGCAAAACAGAACTCGAGGTGGCTGAAGAATTTTGCACGAGAGATGCCGGTAATATTACGAACGAGAGCATCGACGCCGTGATCGTTCCTGAGACGCGATTACCAGAAAATGGACATTCATTCAACATGGAAGAACTGGAATGTGCGTTAGTCGCTTTTAAAAGCATGTCATCGCCAGGTCCTGATGGCGTTACTTATAGTGCGTTGGGACCCTTGGACAAAAAGCCAGAAAAGAACTTTTAACATGCTTCAACAACTCCTGGCTCAGCGGCATTGTTCCTCGAGAATGGAAAATAAGTCGATTAATACCAGTTTTGAAATCGGGAAAATCACCATTGGACTTGACAGCGTATCGCCCTATTGCCCTCGCAAGCTGCCTCGGAAAAGGGATGGAAAGAATGGTTCTATTTCGTCTCGAGTGGTACTTGGAACGATACACCAAATACACTTTTTGCATGGCAGGCTTCGTCGGGGCCGCTCCTCCATCGACTGTGTCCTTGACTTATCGACATATGTTCAGCAAGAAAAAAGTCGCAAGCGCATATCAGTGGCACTCTTTCTTGACGTGAAGGGTGCATATGATAATGTAGCTCGCGATGCCATCCTCACTTCTCCCGCAGCAATGGGCATTGGTGGACGAATGTTTCAATGGATAAAAAAATTATATAACTAGCAGGGGTTTTTTGTGCAAACATATGAGGGTACAACTGCTGAACATTACACCTACTGCGGAGTACCTCAGGGAGGTGTTTAAGCCCCAGATTGTTCAATGTTGCCCTCATTGGTCTGGTGAAGGTTCTGCCAAAGTCGGTGTGCCTATCCATATACGCTGATGATATTTGCCTCTGGAGTGCTGCAGTTACTCGCCCTCAGGTGCGTGCACGATACAGCGGGCAGCAACCCTCACAACAGCCTACCTTCAGAACAAGGCTTAACTATATCAACTGTCAAGTGCGCGTTGATGGCGTGTACACGCAAACATGACGCCATACCCTGTTTACATCAATGGGCAGTGTCAAATATGCACGGACGCATGGTTTCCTGGGCATAATAATCGACAGAAGTCTTTCGTGGAGCCCGCATTGTGTGTACTTGAAGAAGAGACTGCTATCTATTGTGCATATAATGAAATTCATGTGCGAGAAAGCGTAGGGAACTTCTGTGTCTCCATGCTACAGCTGTACAGGGCCCTACTCTGGGTCTATTGCGCTACAGCTTGCTGGTACTGACTAACACTTGCAATCCAATACTCATTCATTGGAGAGTTTGCAGGGTCAGGCACTGCGTATCTGCCTAGGACTGCCCCGATGCGCTTCTACCTATGCCACAATCATGCTTGCCAAGACCATCCGGTCAGGACATATAGAATTGTAGATTGCCTCGGAGCGCACATTCGACATGCTAGTCGTGTCCCGACCACCATTTGGCCCTTCTACCCTCCGGAAGACCACGTGCTACGTTTCACTCGTCATAGCCAAGAACCTAAACAGCATTCCATCAGGATATACGCCAGCTGCGAGAATGGCATGTCCTTTGTGGTGCCTCGACCAGCCGCAAGTACGTCTAGAAATTCCGGGAATCAAAAAGAAAAGCAATCACTCCAGAGTAGCATTGAAGCAAGCAACACTGCTATTATTACATGAAGTTGTACTTAGACCGAACACAGATATACACTGATGGATTCGTCTCGTCTAGCAGCTCATCAGGTGCCGCTGTAATTCTGGCTGCAGCAATGACAATCAAGTTTAAGTTGTCGCATATGACTGCATCTACGGCATCAGAGCTTGCTGCTATAAAGGCTGCTTTACAATATCTCGTCCAAGAACGTCCAGGAAAATGGGTCATTCTGTGATTCGAAGGGAGCGCTTCAGAGTTTGCAGTCTGCCATGCGTAGGAGGAGTCATGAACAATTGGTGCAAGAAATAAGACATTGCCATCATGAAGCTCTCGCAAGAGGTCATGATATATATCAATGGCTGCCTGGACATATTGGTATTACCGGAAATCAATTAGCCGATGATGCAGCCCGCTTAGCCCATGAAGGAACCCGTGTAGTCCCGATTCCTCTATCAAGGAATGATGCAGCAAGACAACTTTACCTGCTGGCTCGAGATCTGACACGCACGTTCTGATCGTCTACCAGCTTTCAAAGGTGTCAATTTTATGAACTGGATCCTTCGCTCAAGCTAAAGCTACCATCACAACTTTCCCGCTCCGATGCGACACTGTTATGCCGCCTTTGGTTGGGTGTTGCATTTACAAAGGTGTACTCCTTTCGCATTGGCATGGCAGACACTCCAACATGCGACTACTGCGGAGCTGAAGACCATCGAACACGTCCTGTGCAGCTGCGCTTGCTATGACACACAGCGATGCCAGCTCCGGATGGTTTTGAATCAACTTGACCCCGGACCATTTTGTGTGCAGAAGATACTAGGACCTTGGGCATCTGCCTCAGTTGCGCAGAAAGCGACTAAAGCACTTCTACTTTACTTAAAGTCAACAAACTTGAGCGACCGCCTGTAGACTCTGTGTGCTCCCCGAGTGTGCTCGTGATTTTGTACCTTCTCATCTCTCTGCAACCTCTTTTCTCCCCTTCATCCCTTCCCCAGTGCAGGGGAAGGGATGATCTACCTATCTATCTATCTATCTACTATCTATCTATCTATCTATCTATCTATCTATCTATTTGCACCGTCTTTTCTTTCTCTTTTACTCCTTCCCTGTCCTGTATTTTTTCTGGTGTTGCGCTGTAAGTTTCACGATCTATTCATAAAAGCAAAATATTGAATCTGACTAAACAATAGCAAGACAACACAAGAGAACAAAACTTACCTTTTTGTGGCAACAAAATGCCGAAAGAAAAAACAGCTGCCGAACCTCTTTTTGTGCCTTCCCGCTGACTAGTGCATCAATGGTGGAGGCGGAAGAAAGGGTGACGCCACAGGAGGAGACAAGAACATTGTTATCCAATGCTTTTGGTTCAAGCTGCAAGCAGTGGTTTAACACTTCATTGAGATGCTTCCGGCTGCACTATCTACAACGAGAAAACATTGAAGTCCTTTGAGTTTCGCAGTAGCCATACAATAGACGCAAAGCATGGGTTGGAAATATTGTGCTGCAATAAGCGGCTAAGTTACTGAGCGATGACTTGCAGACTCAGAGGGTACTCACTTCTTACACGGAATGAAACGACTGGTTCGGAGTGGGATAAGAAACAAAAAATGACAACAGCTTTCTGCACAGTGCTCTCTGTTGCGGCAATTTGTCAGGGGCTTTCGCCATTTTATCTCATCTTTCACGGCTAAGCGGTTGCGAGTGGGGCAAGTGGTGACCTGACTCTACATACTGTAGTGATTTTGACTATAACCTGAAATAACACCAACAAACTACTAACAAAACCACCATACTGGTACCCCCATTCGGATACATTTCAAAACGCACGCGGAATGCATTGATGGTAAATAAAGATGCAGTTACTGTTTTGAATAGGCATTGAAGAGATAAAACAAGTATTTCGAAAATTTTATGGTTAGCCTAGTTGTAAAAAAGCGACGTCGAGCTGGTGTAAAAAAATAGAAGCTCTAAAGCTTCTTTATGAATGCTTTGGCGGTACGTAACGGGTGAAGATTAGGAGATGGAAAAGACAACGGTGTCTGCTAAGAGAGCCCGATGCGATAGCAGCACCATGCTAACAATGACGTGCCCCTACATTGGTTGGAAGGTGAGAACACTCAGTTTTAGCACGAGTTTCATTTCTGGAGTTTGGACATCTCTGCAGCGTATGTGACTGCGCGTGTTCTAACTCGACTCTTCCTGTGCTGCGAGCAACTTAGAAAGGACTTGGCACAACTTAGCTAAAGCTCAGCAACAGCGGGGAAGCAAGCACATTAGTCTTCAATGGCGTAGAGCTTTACTGCTTTAACTTTTGCGTAACTCAGTTCAAGTAACGCGAAGATTTTTTGTCCACTTTCTTAGATTGTCATGACCACTTAGTTTCAAGAATGTGAATAAAATTTGTAAGTAAAGCCCAGTGGTTTGTTTGTTTGTTTTTTTTCCTGTCATCGACGGTTTCTTGATACATTTACCGAAAAATATTTTTCGAAGAAACCATAAGATTTATATCGATATTTGGCTTTCTTGTGCGTTGTCCAAGGGTGACAAAGTTTCTGCTGTTATTAGAAAGGTGATGCTAACTTCATTTCGGACATAGTATTGTACGCAAATGTCTGGCGTTGTAAGCACAGAGAATTTTATACACTTACCATTGCAGTGCAATGCTTAGCTAAGCTATGGAACGTGCGCGACCTCTCCAGCTAAGCTCAACCGCCATGCAATACGGGAGAGGACTGTAGATTTGGACTCCTGCAAATTATCTAAACTACGTGTGAAGAATGTTCAAGTCCCACTCTGCATTTGATGCCTCGTCAATGGAAGTGAAAGAGTGTGGTCAGCCCTAAAAAGTGACAAATTGCAGTTTTGTGTAGACTACATTTATTTATGCTATAGAAGTGGCTTTTGTCGTCTTTGTAAACAAAGCTTTGCAGCCCAGATAATGGCTAGTGCAGCATTCAGTGCTGCCATGAAATGAAGAAGGCCATCGTATGATCCCAAACGATCTCGCCAGTAACCTGCAAAGAGCAAATAAATGCACTAAAACTTTTTTTCTAAGACAGTATTATTGCGTAACTGCCATCATAAGCTCTACAAATTAGAGTCACCGGACCACACTTCAAGGGGTATGGCAGAGTAAACGGGTTCTTGCGGTGTCAGCTTGGTCTCTCATCAACTACTTTTTATTGTATGGAAAAAATTCACATGTCTCATAAAAAAGAATTCAGACTTCACTTGCGTTAGTATTATTTCTCGTAGCTTTTTATATATATTTATCACTTGAGTAGCAAAGATTTAGCATGCGTGCCAAAAATAATGTATGCTTTTACATAAAGCAAAAGCAGTGCACATGACCATGAAATTTTGCTTGCTTATTTCTCATAATAGCGCTTTATTTACTGCCTATAATATAAGTTACCTATATTTACGATTTAAGTTATAATTGCATTTATTTGTCCCGTGTTACCAGAGGGCTTTACAAATAAATATGTATTTCTCCTAGTGAGAGGTTGCACAGTTATTAAACATTTGAAATTCTTTCTATTTTCGATATATTTAGGTAGAATCTCAGAACGTGTGCTTAGAATCAGAGGCAGACTTTTACAGAAAAAGTACATCAAGTTTGTGTTCTCTTCAGAAAATTAACTGTGAGAAAAACACACAGTTTCTTATAGAAACAATGTAAATCAAATAGCTATGCTACCAAAACATACTTAGCGGGAAAGTTTTCAACCAAAGCGTAAAAAGGACAGGAAATAAACACATTTATCCAGTCTCTCCACGTATGTTACCAAGATGAATACATGCGCAAAAAGTGACGAAAAACCCGCCAACAAACTGTCACATCTGTCAGGAGGCGCGGATTTTGGTGCTACTTTCAAATGGCTCCCCGTGCTCGTACAAGCTTGTGAATACATCGTTATGTTCATCAGAACTTCTGTTACTTTTTGGTAATGAACCCAAATAATTACTTTTTTGAACTATAGTTATGATATTCCATACCCCCTTAAATATGCGTGATCCTTAATGCGTTCATTTTAAATGCACGCATAAATAGATTTTACAAACCAGTTCAGCCTTTCATGTCTAGCCTTTCTTTTAGAGGTGGTAGGCTAGTGGTATTACACGCACTTGCATTTTCGTTACAGTAAAGACCTCAGCAGATCTGCTCCCCTATTGAAGGTCACATGTGGCTTAATTTCTCTCTGCAGATCAAATTGTTCTGCTATAACATATTCTCATAAGTGTGGCAGGGTATATTATGATTCGGGTAAGACAAATTCTTCGAGTGGCCAGAAAATGTAAAAAAAAAAGACTTCACCAATGTACGTTGTGTGCCATGGCTTAGAACCTGTAAATATCGTGAAAGCAGTCGCAGTTGTGTTTTCTCAGCCACGTAAAGTTATAAGGTTGTTTTTTTTAAAAGAATATTACTTGATAATTTGAACACATGTCTCCTTCACAATAAACTTATTGTCTCACAGGCAAACGACCCCCCTGTAAATTATCAATTTGTTTATTTTCTCTTCAAAAATGAGGCTGTATAACAGGAAAATGAAGATAGCATAAATGTTATAATCCATAAACAAAGAACAACATGCACTGCTGAGTTATCAGTTTATCACGTAGCATTGTAGGGAAAGAAGTTGTACTAAGCCATGCATTGCATACGACGAACGTGTCACCCTTATCTCAAATTTCCTCCGAAGCGCAGAAACAGAACTGTATTGGTATAGGGATAAAGTCTGAAGGCTTTGGCAAGATAGCTTTCATAGAACGTTGCTAAAAGGAGAATAAGATATACCTTCGTTGCCAAAAGTGTAACAGAACTGTTGTGATCCAAATATTGGTAAATCAGATGCCATAAGAGTTGACAGTGATATAAAAATAACTACTTCAATAAAGTATTACAACCATTATTTGAATTGTTTAACGGCTGCGTACAAACAGTTTGGCTAATTCATTTACACAAGATTTCGTGAACTTCAAACTTGAAATAATAAATCGGTGTGGCCTGTTTTATTGTTAAATAAGTTCACTGATCCCGTCTTTATGCAGTGCAGTGCACAGCAGCCCAAAGGGTTCAAACTGATTGCCTTACGGCTTTATCTTTTGATTTCTGTCGCTTTGTCTGAAGCCCGTCGTTAGAAATATTTTCTGGGTGTCTTGATGGAGGTCTCTACATTACTAGAAAAATGCTTTTTTTTTGGTAAAAGAACACCCTTTCAACAAGAATTCAAAGGATTAGGGGGAAGGGGGTCTTGGGCACTACTTTTGTTTCTTGGCTATGGGCCTGCTTTGTCACTTTTCAAAGAAATCAAGGACACCAGCAAAGTCTTATGTGGGATAAAATGAAAACTCAATAAATTGTACAATCCACGCCAAGTTTTACGCTCATTTTGGCAAAGATAAACTAGTGAAGTTGTAGTGTGAGCAATCACCTAAACTTGCGTTGCTAGAAGCGCACAGTTTATGCGTTTGTAGACAGGTAAATATTCCAATTGCTTGTCTGTTTAAGAGGCCACGTTTTAGATATCCAGTTGAATCGTGATGTAATTGTTAACATGAACTTTCAAGACGTATAACAAATGACAACCTCGAATCATCAAGCATGTCGGCAGAGCATGAAGCTCCTCACCCATACATCGTCGCAGTAATTACCAAAAATGTTATGATAATTATTACCAATCTCCAGCACCTTTCTCTTTGTTGCCTCTGAAAGTCAACAGATGCAGCTAATCTGGCATAAATCAATCAGACAATCTGTAATAATCTGGAATACATGACAGATAAGCATAATCACTTACCAACCAAAAATGGTCCCGTAATGAGTGTGACACCAATCCAGAAGCCGACTCCACCGAGCACTAAGGGCATTCGGTCAACTCCAAAGTGTTTCGTGAGAGAAGGCATGAGCAGGGTAATTCTCAATCCGTTACTGATTCCGAATAACGCGGACAAAGCCAGCATGACCGGGAAAGAGTCCAGCAACACGAACAGCTCTAGCACGAGAGATTGAAGAAGGTATCCCACTAGCATGACGCTTTCCAGTAACAAAACACCAGAGTCGATTAAAAGGCCGCTTAGTGGTCTCATCACAATGTCCGTCACTGCAAAAGCGTTTAGTAAAAAAACGCCACTGGATGGTGCAATTCCTTTGTCCTTGGCAATATCCACTGACAACAAAAGAAACGCAGATAACCCTAGGGTAATTATCGTGAACGATACGGCGTTAACCACGAACGGCGTGCTAATAAACTCTCTCGTTATTGTATTCAAGGTTGCTTTTCTCATATAGGTCTTGTCTCCTGATGTGTGGTCGAGTTGAGCGATGGAAGGTCGTTGATGCACGAACTGCTGGTTTGTACGTGTGGTAATTCTGTGAACTCTTCTTCGTGGTCATCAGGATTGTGGCAACCTTGCGTACCGTTTTCAGGCAAAAGTAGATTATTTGGAGCCACTTCAGCGCTCATTTCAGGCTGTGTCACTGCACTTCCAGAGGACTGCCTCCTTGTTTCGCCCACTCCGGGCTTCGGACGGCGAGCACGGGAGGCAATGAATGAAGGATTAGACCACCCAGCAACAGGAAAGTGCCACGGATCCCGTACGTAACTCGAAGAAACTCAGCCAGTGGAGGTAAGTACAAGCTGTTGATGCCAAGAGACGTGTAGATGATGCTGCACGCTGTAGCCCTTAGTTTTTCGAAGTGTGGGAAACAAGGACGTTAGAGCCAACGTGTACGCCACATGCTGCAACTCCTACAACAAAAAGAAATAAATGCAATTGCGTGAATCCTACAAGCTGTCATTATGCAAACGCTCTCACCACACGGTCAATCCTCCCTTTAAAACGCCTGATGCAATCATGTCGTCATATTCCTCAGCCTGACGACGCCCACTGCAGGGCAAAGGTCTCTCCCATGGTCCGCCAATCAACTACTAGAGGCCATTAGAACTTTTTCGTTTCCGCCAATCAACTGGGTTATGAGCTTTCTGCGGCCCTGTTACACCAGCTCTTAGTTCAATATATACACCGCTTTTTCTGCCCACCCCTCCCATCATGCATTTGCATTTTCTTAACAGCCTGGTACGCTGTACAACCAGCGGTTGTCTTGCCTAAGCGCCGAATGACTTGCCTATGAATATTTCTTGCCCCGCCACGGTGGTCTAGTGGCTAAGGTACTCGGCTGCTGACCCGCAGTCGCGGGATCAAATCCCGGCTGTGGCGGCTGCATTTCCGATGGAGGCGGAAATGTTGTAGGCCCGTGTACTCAGATTTGGGTGCACGTTAAAGAACCCCAGGTGGTCAAAATTTCCGGAGCCCTCCACTACGGCGTCTCTCATAATCAAATAGTGGTTTTGGAACGTTAAACCCCACAAATCAATCAATCAATGATATTTCTTCTTAGTTTGGACTAGAATGTCCTGGACGTTGGTGTGTTATCTGACTCACTCTGCTCTCTTGTTGCCCCTACAGGCTACACCTGCTATTGTCTTCTCCATTGCCAGCTGCCTCGTCCTCAATTTACGCATTGGTGTCATTGCTGTAAGCATGAGCAGACTAATGAGAGCCTTCATATAAGTGGACTCGAAAACGCTGTCTTTACATTCGTTTTAACGGCAGAGCTGTGTATGTTTGCGGTTGTCGGTAGAGCGTAGAGCATTAAGGCCCACTGCCTAGCAACCACTTGCCACTTGGCACATCTGCCAACGCTCACTTCGCATGCAAAGAGAACCATAAAATTACATTGACGGGAGTGAGAAAGATCAGAAAGCGAGGAATAAATAGAAAAGAAAGGGAGTGAGGCTGAAAGAGGAAAAAAGAGAGAGAGAATGAAAAAATATATTTTAAATTCGAGACAACAGCAAAGGAAAAAAATTGGCAGATCTCAAGTACAGCGGGAATTGATGATATGCGAAGCACGAATGAGAAATGTGACTTGCTCACTGGATTTCGTGTCAACCGGTTGTACCCCCACGATCGCCGACGACAGCGCAGCTCTAGCAGACTGGGCTCGCCCCCGCGCCATCTCCTGCTGCCGACATGAGCTCTCGCTGAGTGGTACCCCATCTTCGGACTCAAGTGACCGTTTCTATCTTTCCTATCTCCTCTTTACTTCCGTCGCTCGCTGTCCCTGCACCTCTCTCACTCCTTTCTCTCTCTATATACCTTTTGATCCCTCTATACCCCCATTCCTTGTGAGTTACTGTTCTGGTGTCGCACTCTGATGCAGACAGTTACGGGGCTCACTTTTCTCTTCTTTGCTTCTTAAGATGCACATACGATAGAGAAATGTTGATATGTCACTTTAACATCAGCACAACGTTACGAGGTGGAGGTAAAGGATGCCGTACATGACTCCCACATCAGTTTCATGTTTGGATGTGTCGTTTACCTTCGTCGTCTATTCAGGTCACGTGATACCAAATTTAGTATATGTTGAGCTAGCGAACATTAGAATTAGAACATTAGAATTCAATCAACCAAAGGAACAAGCAGGATTTCGAACAGGCTACTCACAATTGACCACATTCATACTATCAATCAAGTAATAGAGAAATGCTCAGAGTATAACCAACCACTATACATAGCCTTCATAGATTACGAGAAGGCCTTTGATTCAGTAGAAATATCAGCCGTCATGCAAACACTGCGGAATCAGGGCGTAGATGAAGTATATATAAACATTCTGGAAGAAATCTACAGGGATCAACTGCTACCATAGTGCTTCATAAAGAAAGCAACAGAATACCAATCAAGAAGGTGTAAGGCAGGGGACACAATTTCCCCAATGCTATTTACCGCGTGCTTACAGGAGGTTTTCAGAAGCCTAGAATGGGAACAGTTAGGGATAAGAGTCAATGGAGAATACCTTAGTAACCTGCGCTTCGCCGATGACATTGCATTGCTGAGTAACTCGGGGGACGAATTGCAACTCATGATTACGGAGTTAGACAAGGAGAGCAGAAAGGTGGGTCTTAAAATTAATCTGCAGAAAACGAAAGTAATGTACAACAACCTCGGCAAGAAGCAGCGCTTCGAGATAGGTAACAGTGCACTTGAAGTTGTAAAAGACTATGTCTACTTAGGGCAGGTAATAACCGCAGAGCCGAACCACGAGATTGAAGTAACTAGAAGAATAAGAATGGGGTGGCACATTCGGCAAGCACTCTCAAATTATGACAAGTAGATTGCCACTATCCCTCAAGAGGAAGGTATATAACAGCTGTATCTTGCCGGTACTTAGCTACGGAGCAGAAACCTGGAGACTTACAAAGAGGGTTCAGCTTAAATTGAGGACGACGCAGCGAGCAATGGAAAGAAAATGGTAGGTGTAACCTTAAGAGACAAGAAGAGCAGAGTGGATTAGGGAACAAACGGGGGTTAAGGATATCATAGCTGAAATCAAGAAGAAGAAATGGACATGGGCAGGGCATGTAGTGCGTAGACAGGATACCGCTGGTCATTAAGGGTAACTGACTGGATTCCCAGAGAAGGGAAGCGGGTTAGGGGAGACAGAAGGTTAGGTGGGCAGATGAGATTAAGAAGTTTGCGGGTATAAATTGGCAGCAGCAAGCACAGGACCGGGTTAACTGGCGGAACATGGGAGAGGCCTTTGTCCTGCAGTGGACGTATCAGGCTGATGATGATGATGATGATGATGAGCTAGCGAAACGGTCGCGAGCACGCTATGAGCGTGGTATGTTTCATGTTCTTACATGATACGCGTGTGAGGCTTATTATGTTTGCACCAGACATATATTTCGTCATTCAGTGACCTGACGTCACACCAAATTCGGTATATGTGGAGCTAGCAAAACAGCCGCGAGCGCATCATGAAGGGCCCATTATACTCCAATGGGCACAGCGACGCTACGTTAGCAAAACGTGAGCACTCTATCGTCTGACGCCAGGCGCGACCAGCGTCCGTCAGCGCGTCCCTACGGCAAAGGCGCGAAATGGGACATGCTCAATTTCTCGCCGATGGGTTGCCCAGCGAACACTCCCTGTTTCTCTTTTCGTGACAGAGGGACGCCGAACGCGCTGAAACGCGCATGCGTCATAGCAACGCCGCGTGGTGCGCATGCGTTTTTTTAGCAACGCAGCACGGCGCGCACCTGTGAACATAAGGCAGGACCGGCTCCTGGCGTGGCAACGCTGGCGTGACGCGACGAAATGAACGCCGGCAAGCACGCACACCACGTCACGTTGAAGCGTATTGACACCTTGACTGTGGCATGTAGTCATGTTCTCACATGACACGTCTCTCATGATTATCATGTTTGCACCATTCACATACCTTCGTCATCCATTGCTGTCACGTAATACCAAATTTGGCATACGTGAAGCTAGCGAAACGGCCGCGAACACGTGGTCAGTGTGGCATGTAGTCATGTTGTTACATGATACTCATGTCGTGACTATCATGTTTCGATGTGTCATTTACATATGTCGTGCGTTCGCGTCACGTAATACCAAGATTAGTACATGTGAAACAAGCTAAACAGCCGCGAGCGCATCATGAGTGTAGCATCTAGTCCTGTTATTACATGACACGCATCTCATGTTTCTCATTTTTGCACCAGTATCATACCTTCGTCATCCATCTCACGTTCCATAATACCTAATTTGCTTAGGTGAAGCTAGCGAAATGGCCTCCTACGCATCATGAGCGTGGCATGTAGTCATGTTGCTACACAACACGCATCTCACAATTATTATATATAGCACCAGCCACATACCTTCGTTCTCTATTCACGTACTGTAATACCAAATTTGGTATATGTGACGCTAGCGAAACGGCCGAAAGCGTACCATGAGCGTTGCATGTAGTCATGTTGTTACATGACACGCATTTGATGATTTTCATGTTAGGGTCGGTCACTTGTTCACCATGCAATCATGCCATAACATACCAGTTTTGCAACATGCCTTGTAAACGAAACCACCACAAGAGCTGCTGGACAATGACCTGTAAATTATGACATTCATAACATACATATCGTGATTTTCATGTTATGACTAGTGAAACATGTTCTTCATACAGTAATGTTATGCCATACCAAGTTTGGTATCAATACTATCATCGAAACGGCCAGGAGAGCTAAATGTCATAGATAGATAGATAGATAGATAGATAGATATAGATAGATAGATAGATAGATAGATAGAGATAGATAGATAGATAGATAAGATAGATAGATAGATAGATAGATAGATAGATAGATAGATAGATAGATAGATAGATAGATAGATAGATACGCTCAAAGTCGCTGAAGTTCGCTAAGAAGTGCTTCACATTT